TTTTCCTTATGTATTCTGCACCTTAGTTAATGACTCCATCCAGCACTAACTCAGTTTCCTAAGTTAGAAATCCCATCACTCGTTCCTCTCCTGAAATGTTTGCAGTCAGTCACCAAATTGAAATTTTACCTTAAAATATCTGGCTTTTACTCTCCAGTGCCATTGTCTTTTACCATCTTTCTCAGGAACCGTAAAACAATCTCCTCATACTACAGACTATCGTTTGCACTGCTTATGTAGTTATTGTTCCTTCAGATCTACGTCAATCATGTTGCTGTTTTGCCAACTTTTGTTGCCTCTCAGGATAAATTCAACTACTGTCCATTCGCGGTTTGGTCCCAGCCTCCTTTTATGGCCTCGTTGCTGTCATGACATCCCCATTATGCCTTTATCCCTCATGCTGAAATTCCTGTTATACTGAATTTCTCACTAGTGGATGGATACATGACCTACTAGCTTTGTATATTTATACTCGTGGCTTATTTTTCTTAATTTATATTTGTGGTTTCTTCACCCCTCGAAATCCCCATTTTCATTGCCTGGTAAATTCTTAGTATGGCGATGCAGTTCAAATTACACCACTTTGATAAAACCTTTAATCAGAATCAGTTAACTGTCTTTATTTTTATAAATCTCTTTTATATCCTTATAATGTGATTTATATCAGTCTCTAATCTCTTAGAAATTTCACACTTTCACCTTCAACCAGAAAATGAGTTTTCATGTTTTTTTGCCTTTAGCAGTGCATAGCATATAGCAAACACCCAAATGTTTATTCAATGAATGAAACAAATAAAGTTTCATTCGTCTGTAGTGACTGAAACTGAAAAATGATATGACAGGGGCCAGCTTGTTAATACTACTGAGATCTTGTGTTTGTACTTCTTTGTAGTCAGCCTTCTGAGACTTTGTTCTATATGTGGCAGTTCCTTACTTACTCTTTGAGGAACTATTGACCATACCCATAATAATAAATTAGATATCTATCCATCTCTGTTATCTACCTTGTCCTAAAATCAGATGCTGCTTTATAGATGAAAGTGCAACAATTTAGTCATTCCACAGTGGTAGCATATATAGTATATGTGAGATAGGAATATTTCATATATATAGAATTTCAAAATATCATTGAAATTAGAAAAGATCCACTTAATCATTAAATTCTTCTACAACAGTATACATGATTAATTGCTAATTAAAATATCTTGGATAGAAAACATAAATACTATGTTAACCAATTACTTTATAACTATATTAATTATTTTCTTTGATTTTTTCTCAACTCTCATTATGTTCTAATCTTTGAAATGATCAAGTGTGACAACATTAAAAAAGGGAAGAAATAATATTAAAAAACAATGTAAGTATGAGTTCTTAGTAAGTCTTAAATACTTGAAGTAATCTAGTTTAAAATTTATAAGTACACCATGTTTAAAAATCAGTTTAAAAATATAGACCAAGTTGCATAATTAACGTATTTGAATTACCAGATAACACCAAATTATTTTGAAACTACATTTTAACATAAAATTAAACTTGTTGAATTAAAATATAAAAATGTCTTGTGAATTTTAGATATCTGTGCATTTTTTATCCAACCATTTTGTTAATTATTGATTTCTATTTAATTTCATTTCATCTTTGAGAATGTCACAAAACATTTCCCAAACTATCCAAAGACCCTTGATGCTAATTTGGTTTCTAATTTAAAAATACATTAAAATCAGGTTCTTTACTGTCACCACCTTTATACTTTTTTCCAACTTTTTCTGATGGTCAGGCTTTATGTTGCTATGTCATTTCATCTTACAATCAAGAAAAGAAAACTGTGTTGTAGGGTGCTTCAGTTTAAAAATTACACATACATAACCTTGTAAAAAATTTTGAACTATGGTTCTAAAATCACCCAGGGAAGGATGAGTCTTTACAGAGTAGCCAATCACTTTCTTCATGTATGTACCATTTTTCCTGTTTATTAGCCATATTTCCACAGTTTGAGGTTATACATTTTATTGAAAAAAGTTTCCCCCCAGTTTTTTTTTTTTTTTCTTTAAAAAATAGGCAATTGTGCCTGGCACAGTAATGCCAGTTACTTCTGACGTTGAGCCCAGGTGGTTGTAGTTCAAGGCTAGCCTGACCAATTTGGCAAGACTCTTTCAAAATAAAAAAAATAAGAAGGGCTGGGATATAACTCAGTGGTAGAGTACCCCTGGGTTCAATTTCCAGGATCACACACACACAAAAAAACAACAAACTAGGCAATGTAAATTACATATACTTATAAATCGTATCATTTGGGAAACCAATGTGTTGTCTGTAAACCCAGTATTTTAAAAAATATTACTGGAACAAAATATTGAACTGTTTGTATGAAATAATAAAATATTAAAAGAAAAGATATAGTCTTAATTTTTAACAGTATAGTGTGCCACTTATTTTTATTTCAAGAGAAATGTATTTGAAGAAAATTCTTAATGAAAATCAACACTTTGAAACCAAACTTTTTCTTATTCTTTTAAAATTAAATATCCACAGTAATGCTAATGATTGAAGAGTGTAATAAAAGTTAAAATATCAATACCATAACATTTTATGGACAGAAATATTACTGAATTACATTACTTTCAAATATTTAAAAATCTTACTTGAGTAATGACTATATTATAAAATAATAGATGTTGTATGTGACTTAGGATGAAAGTCTAAGTATTTATACTTACATTTTAATCTATTTTTCTTCTGGAACATTATTAGTAAATTTTGAGATTACAGAACTGTTGACCCAGTCATACATGTATGGAGCTTGGCCTCTGAGTTAATTAAATATGAGTTAATAATATATTATAAGGAAATTATTATCCTTATTACAGTTATTAGGTAGTTACTCAAATTATAGCTTGAAAGGAATGCAGAGCATAGAAAACTCAGGATTAAATTATGCATTTGAACCTTGGGCCAGCTTTTTACTGTAGAGACAGTTTGCTGCTAACAGAGAAATTGTATGTCGTTGAAATTAAATGCTTTTCTCGGGATAGAAGATTTCAGTTTTTAATGAAATTACTGAGTGTGGTGTAGTGAAATGATTAAAATCTGTATTCTGGGAAAGTGGCAGGGGAAAAAAATCAATAAATGCTAGCACAGCTTTGCTGCTCAATGTGAATCCTGAGAATGAAATAAACTACTACAAAAATAATAATTAAAAACATATCAGCACATTAATTTATTTAGCATCAGTCTCCTGAGACATCATCTTCACTAATTTTTAGCATACATTTTACTATGTAATGAGCAGCCTTCTTTTCAGTTATTCCTACTAGACAGGCAGTATTTCTGCCCTTCCCCCAGTGCTCCTGCATTGCAATCATTGTACTTGCACTTATTATGTTACAAATGACCGAGGTAAGGCTGACATTCTCAGTGCATGCAAAAAGACCTAGTCTGCCAGCTTTTTTTTTCCTAATGAAGCAGCTTTGTGAAATCTCCCCATGTGTTAATACTAATGAAGATCCTCCAGCACAATTAAAATCACAGCCAGTGGTTGAGGAGGAAACAAAACAATAGCATCTTTTAAGATACATTTGCCCACATATGTATGTTAAATACAACATGTATGGTCAAATTATTCTCCTATAGCTTAATTTTCACTTGCTGTTCATCCTCAAAGTTAAATTTTGCATTATGTAATTTATAAGAACTTTGAAACGTTAATGTGCTCTTAAGGAAAAAACTAAAATGAAAATTTTTAAAGTTGCATGTTTTCATGGACAATAGTGTTACTAAGGTTAAGTCTTTTTCAAAATTTATTTTTAGAAAACTGGATTGGGATGTGAAAGGGAGTAGAGGACACTTTACCTTCTTTTAACCTGATTGGTTGCAGGATATGGGAATTAGAGGGGAGAGTGCAAGGTTAAAAAAAGTTGCAAGAGACGCTGGGGGTCAAATACATACTGCGTGTATAATTTAAAAAGGGAATTAATGGGCTACTAGTTTTACTCAACTTGATTAAAAACACTGTTCTGTTCCTACCATTGGCTATTCTTTTTCTTAAAGAACCTCTCAGAAACTGGAAAACAAAACGATCGACATTACTCCTTAGTTTATAAACTTAACTTTAAACCGATTTGCTATTTTAACGTGCTTTATTTAGATTTTATTTTAGCTCAGTGCATAAACATTACAGCCACTTTAACTTGTCCATGGGAAGGCGACAGCATTTTACCCTGGGACTATCTTGCGACCAGCTCTTTAGCCCTTACATCCACAAATTCTTGGCATATTAATTTAGCTGGTTTGTAGACTTCCACAGAATTGAGTTTGCAAACGTAAAAAGTTTAAGTGGAAATGGTTAACCAAAGGTGGATATTAGTTTACGTTTTTGAACAATTAAGTTCGAACCTTGTTTTATGTCCTCTTTTAAAAGCAAAACAAAACATTTAAGTTTCTTAACTTTTTTCCTGGGACAAGGGACGGTGCAAACTCAAAGCTACAGTATTCTTGGAAGGAAGACGCAACCCCCTCCCTTGGCTTCTTTAGGAGCTGATAGGTCATTTATTATTGGAACTGAAATGGTATAAACAATTCTCTCTCTTTTTTCCCTTGTTAACAGCAACTTTCATTGTTAGAGAGAGGAGAGAGAGAGAAGCCTTGTTGGTTGACGTCACTTGGTTCATGAAGCCTTCGCCTAGAAGTGAAGCTGCTGAACAAACCTTGAGAAGAATCATCTCCTGCTTCAATCTGCTGCTGGATAGGAACTAATCAGAGAGAGAGAGGCGGAAGACGAAGGAGGGAGTCAAGGGCTTTCCCGATCACAGATTTCACCTCCACTCCAACTCTCTTTATACTTTTCTTGCAGAAATTATAATAGAAATAAGGAGGTGGTGGGGAGTCCAAAAATCTTAACCTTCAACCATCTGGGGAAGGCAAAAATCCATCTACGGCAACTCTCAGTTCGAAAGTAAAGGTGAGTTAAAAATCCTCGGGTGTGAGGGGAGCGGGTGAAGATGCAAAATTCCGAATGTTGTGAAGCCGGTAGAAAGAAAAGGAGCAACTACGCTGCCGCGAGCAGGGACTCCGGAGTTGCTCTCCGAGGCGCTCGCCCTGCCGCCCTGCTCGCCCTGCCGCCGCTGTTTACCCTCGCCGGTCGGTGTCTCTTTGTTGTGCTGGCTGGAAGGCAGGGGTGGCCCTCGGGGTCCCGAGTGGAGTTTGGGGGAGAGGACGCGGAGAGGTGCGGTCCTGCGTGGGAAGTGGGGGTGCGGTCTCAGGAGGACGTAAACTTTATGCCTAGCTGCCGGCGCGGGACTTCGGTCTAGCAGGGCCGCGGCCCGCTCACGGCCGGGCAGCCGCCGCGCGTCCGCCTCCTTTGTGCGGGCCGCCCTCCTCGGCCGCCGGGCCGCGCGGCGCCGTCCTTCTCCCCTCGGACTCCCGGCGCTCAGGTCGCCGCCACCAGCTCTGCTTCAGAACGACCCCTGGCAGCGTTGCGGTCGCCGTTCCTACCCCGGAAGGTCCGCCGCCTGCCCCACTCCCCGCCGGGGTAGTTTCGAGATCACCCCCACCCCCATCCCCACCCCCACCCCCACCCCGTCCGCCGCCGCTGGCCTCTCTGCCTCCGCCCCCTCTCCCCGCTCGGACTGCGGAGCTGAGTGTCCCCCCCACCCATGTGGGCCTCTTTTCCTGCCTGGTGTAGCTTGAGGCTCTGGAGTTTACGGAAACGGGCGGAGGTGGAAGTGGGGGAGGGCCGGTGGGACTGGGCAAAGAGCCGGGTACCTGGGAAGGTCTGTCAACGCGGGAGGTGTGAGAAGCCTAGCTTTAGCCTGCAGTAAGCTCTCATCTAGCAGCTCTTCCCAGGCACGGCTGCCAGCTCTTAACTCTTCGGTTCCCTCTTTTAATCTTGTCCCTCCCCTCCCCCTTTTGCTTTCTCGGCTTCCCACCCCTTAAAGTAATTCCACGAACCCCAGAATTGGGATTTGGGAAAGGAAGTGTTTGAAGAGTCGGAGCTGGCCTTGCTGTTGGGGAAATTTTCTCTTCTTTTCTCTTTTCCTCTGTATTTATCTTCTGTGTTTTGCTTCCTTATAAAGAGAGAAGCAGCTGCAGTCCTTGGCCGAGTTGTTGAAATTTATCCCTTTGTGTATATTACAATATCCTCCATTTTTTTCCCTGCCCTCTAAACAACAAGCGTTTCGCCATCTTGGGCAATTTTTATTCCCAAGTCTCCCTTTTTTTATTTTTTAAGAAGGGAAAGAAGCCTTAGAACGCCAGAAAGCGCTATGGATAAGGCTCGAAGTTTAGAAAATGTTCAGGGGGCCCAGTGACGTCATATAAACTCTATCTAGAAATTTTCTCAAAAGTAATATTTTGCTCAATTTCCCCCGTTTTAAAGGATAGTGAAACTTACAGCTTAATGCTTAGTTTTGTGACATATTTTTGTTTTGCTCTGAAATGTACAGGCAAAATCTGCACATTTGGTGTTTGGTAACAGGTGGAAGATTATGAGCAAAAATTGATATAAACTTTTATTGTGTCATTTGCTATTCACTTGGATTTTGTTTACTATTATTTTTTCAAGATTTCAAATGTATTTGTAATCAGCACATTTCCTTTCCTGTTTGCTCTCCTATGAGGTTTTCTTTAATGAGCCTAGTTAATATTTACATATACATTACTTAGATTACTTAGCATCCCTTTTGTAATTAAACGGCCTATTTTTGTATACTTATTTACATCTTAAAAGATAGAACTACTGGAAATAACTCAAGGTACTAAGTACTTCAAAATTTTAATAGCAGATACTGTTAAATAATTGGCAAAATGTAGCCTAGTGTATAAAAGGGAGATTTACTTTTTTAAAAGACGATTTATAATCTTTAGTTATAAACTCCTGTCATCCATTATGAAAAATATGCAATAAAAATTAGTGTTGTTTTAATTTATTGTGTAAAATAGTTTTTCATCTCACAAAAGTTGGGCTGGTCACATGACCAAACTTAATGATACACTCACTGACTAGTATATAAATAAGAGGCACTGTAAATTGAATGGGAAAGTGGAATTCTGTCTCCTGTAGTCATTTTCAGTCAGCATATTTACATCTCTTCTAACAAGGACATGAAACTGTATTTAATTTGCATTCTCTTTGTCTTCTGGTTTGGGGGGGAAACATTGACTACAATTAACTAAAAGAAAACTAATAGGAACCATTCTTAATGCATTGAAAAGGTTTGTCTGACATGTAAAACTTACCTTGTAAATGGTATGTTTTTAATTTCTGTAGCAATCTTCTTTGGTGTTATCTGCTATTTACCCAGAAATTTGCTTTATGTAAAATGCTGTATTGAAAGCTTGACTGAATTGAATGTCTGCCATTTATGTGAATTGTAGGTAGGTGAAAAATGTTTAAATAGTTAAGAGCACATAGAACAGATGGTTCTAAATTATACATGCAACAAAGGACTAGAAGATTTGGCAGATTATAAATGGCAAGCAACAGAGGATAAGCAGTTTAAGAAAATGGTAGTTAAGTACATTTGATGTTTCACACCTATTGTAAACAATGTAGACATTATTGTCACTGTGCTGCATAGTCCATAATTTAGAACATTAAGGCACTTGTATGTTTGAGATAGTAAAAATAAGATTTTACAAATATTTGAAACAAGTGGTTGAAGGTAAAATTATTTTAAGTTTATGACAGTCTTTTTTGGAGGGATCAGATTGTATGCTTTAAAAACAGGAAATTATGAGAATTTAATACTGTTGTGTCCATTTATAAAGAGAAATAGGAATAGGTGTATATTCTAAAATCTAGATAATAGTACTTTTACTGTTGTCATATGTTAAATTAGTATGGAATTACAGCAACATTTACCCTTTCAAGCACTGGTGAAAAAATATTTCTGGTCTGGTCGGTCTTGAAAATGCATTTGTTACAATATTATTGACATTGAAATGAAAGAAGGATATATTTTAGTTTTTGGGTTTTGTATATAACATCATACTGCTTTTACTTGAATACAGTCTGAATTTTAAAAATGTAGCTCCTGCCTTTCTAGAAGAATCTGAGTTTTTAATTACATTTGGCATTTTCTAAGAAAATAGAGCAAAAGTATTCAACTTTGTAGAAATTTGTTTTAAAAAAAAAATTTAATAAGTCATCCATTTAAACTCCCCATAAGACTGTAATGGAAACCTTGGAATTTTAATTCTGTTGCCCTTTCTCCCATTTCTTTGTTTGCATGTTTATTATAGAACTGCAGTGTAAAGGAGCAGATGTTTTGCCAAACATCCTGATGTGTTGCTTTTTCTTATGGGAGTGCATAACTGTTCTTCTGATGCATCAACTTGACAGCTGGTTGATTTCATGGAGCTGCTAAGAAGCCATTAGTGGTGTCATTGAATTGAAACAGAACAGTCACTCCCAGCTTGAACTGCAATTGTTAATGTCTTTGTTGCTACTTTTGTGTTACTACACAAGATGTAGGATACCACAGTTGCAGAAAAGTTCACTGATTTTTGTCTTATCTCCTTGAATTAGTGAAAGTATATGTTAGAACTTGATTACTTATGAGTTTCAAGATTTCTCAATGAAATAGATTTTAAGTTGTAGTTTCTGAATTTTTAAAATTGGTCCTAGTTAAAAGTACCAAAGGAAGAATATGAAATATGGTTTCACTCAAAGTAATTTGGTAATTTTGACCCCTAAATGAAAGTATATCATTAAGGTTTAATGATTAATATATTTGATTTCCAGAGGGATTAATCAAATTACCTAGTTGGGTATTTTAAGTTTTTGATTACATAAATTTAAATGTTTTATACCATTAGCCCTTAAAATACTGTGCTTCCTTTATAAATATTGCCTCATTTGATTTAATGTTTCTTTAAACTTTTGTCGTAGGACATAATCAAAAGAAAAAAAAAACTGTTGGAGAAATAGACAGTTTTGTTTTTAATTTTCTTTTATAACAAGGCCAAAATGTTATTTAAAAATTGACGCAAACTCTATTCTACTAGTTGCCATTTAATACTTTTTAAAATTAAAATTGTATTTTATTTCTGTAACTATTATTGATAGTTTTAAACTGTCATACTGTGTTACTGAAATGGTGTCATTATCCCACTGGTGCCTATGCCTAAGTGTTTTGTACTTTCTCTTAATAATTTGCATGGTTTTGTTGCTAATAGGAGAGATGGGAAGGAGCAAAGAGAAAGAATGTAGGCTGATAATCCCAACACACAAAAATAACTTTTAAAAATTGTGTAAAAAACTTTAGGATGATAAGAAATCTTATTACTATATTGAGCTTTTTTCTAGTCCCTATATTTATTAATTTTTAATATTTTTACATTACTAAGTAATTAGATATTTAGCAACTATTCAAGGAGCATAAAATTTAAATTAGTTTGCTTTTTAAAAAATACTTAAAATGCGAAATGGATGATTAGAATATATAATTTGCTGAGGCAATTACTATTAAAAGGACTTACTGTATAATATAAACAAATATTTAACACATATATCTGAGTGATTCCAGAATTATGATATCTTAAAATTATGTTTGTGATGACAGTTTTCCTTTTAAGTAGGTCATATATTACTGTAAGTAAAACTAAGATTTATATTCAGGTAATATGCTTTCTCAAACCTTTTTATGAATAGCCATACAACTTCTTAAAAAGAAAATTGTTTGGTTACCTTAGACTATGATTCATTTTTAAGAAATGTATTTATTCATTTAATGTTTGCATCAAGGCATCATAAAAAGCCAAATGAGGTAAATTGAATTGGGTATTAAATATAAACTATATTTAAAGGCATCTCAATTCTTAGTTTATGATAGAAATGTAGTGGTAATAAGCATCCTACAAGTTTAAGTGGAAATTTTCAGCGTTGAGTTTTTTAAAGGAAAGTGATTCTGAACAGAAAAGTCATACAAACTTTATACTTTGATTCGTAAACTTTTTTCTTGAACATGACCTTTGAAATTATGGTTAATTAAATATATTTAATTCATTCACAACTACATATGGTATCATAAAATATTGGCAGAATCTGTTGAAAGCTGGGAAATTAAATCAGTTTACATGATTTTTAAATTTGTTTTGGGTGCTATTTGATTTGTGGCAAGTCATAATAGAATTTTTGGTGTAAAATATTTAATAGTCCAGATATTTGTAAGTTAAACATTAAGCTTTTAAAATAAATAGGCTTTTATAAGAATATGAAGTGAAAATGTTTTTATCCTACATACTTAGATTTTTACTACATAATTTCAAATTTTTACTACATAATTTCATAATTGTTTTTAAAAATAAAATGCTTTAAAATAATTTTTATAATTTATAAAACAATTTGTATCTTAGCTTTTGAATTCCTTTCATTCAAATAAAAAAGATTTGAGTATTGGGACAATAATAATGAATGTGATGTATAGATAAAATACACTGATTTTATTTGTTCACGTGAATGAAAAAATATGTATATATTATATATGAAAAAGGAATATTTGGTTTGAAAATAATTATTATATTGGTATTTCAGCTATGTGTAGACATAATTGTGTGTTTTTTCTATTTTCTCCTCTTAACACTTTTCCACAAACATGCACTCATTAATCAAACACGGTGCACTCCTGCTGAGGGTAGAGAGGTTCATCAAATTGGCAGTCAGTTTGGTGTAAAGAACGGTGT